AATAGTAACACAAATGTGTGTGTGTGTGTGTGTGTGTGTGTGTGTGTGTGTATGTGCGTGTGTAGACCTCCACAGCGACGGTGAACATTGTGGTGACAGATGTTAATGACAATGACCCGCTGTTCGATTCTTCACTGCCAGTGAACCTCACTGTCATCGAGGAGCAGAATCACACCTACGTTGGACAGGTCAAGGTAAGAAAATGCACACACACTCAAACATAAACACACACAGAGAAAAGTGGCAAACGTGTGCACTACATTTATTTACTGTGCACATGTATAAGTACAGCATGTTTATATGAGAGTGTGTGTTTGTATGCTAATGTCTTTATTATGCACACATTTATGACTATGCATTTGTTGTTTTGTGTGCTTTTCCTTGCACTAATTAGTTATAATGATGTGTCATGTACAAAAAAGCAAATTTAGTTCACAATTTATTTCACTGTATCAGTAATTCCTGTCTGCGCATCTGTCATTTAACATGCTCTCTCACTGTGCATGGCGTTTTAATTGCCAATTACACTTGTCTCTGTTATTTCTCTAGTGGTGTAGATCAGCGTGTTTGAAACTAGTCACACAAGTCTGTGTTATTGTGGCAAGGATCATAATGTCTCACTGTAAGCAACATAATTACTTAAACTATAAAGGTGCCGTAAGGCTTGTCTACATTTATATTTTCTCTCTTTCCTGTCTCTTACCACACATGCACACAGCACACAAAGATTCACAGAGGCACTAATTAAATTCTGCTCTTATAATCTTTTACAGTGGGGACCGGAGATCACTAGCATAACTCTGTAAACCTTGTTAGCTTTGTAATTAAGACTCTATGTTATTATACTCAGAGGACTATGTGTGTGTGCATATTTATAGGCGGACAGGCTACAAGGATTTGAGAGAATGATGTATGAGTGTCCCCTTTTTTACGTGAGAGGACGGTATCTATTTGGGTTTAATGTTTCCCCATATTTTAAATATTACTTCCTGGGAATCTTTCATCTCTTGTTCCTAGGAAAACTGAAATTTCTCCAAGTTGCCAAGTTTGTCAACATAGAACTGCAAACTATTATTCATAAAATGGGGGTTATTCTCATTATTTTGTTATATTACTTTTTATATTCTATGATTATTTACTTTTCAGTATATGTTTCTAAAAGTATACTGTGGTGCAAGATGCAATTACAAAATGATTAAACTATAAGCAGCCATTTTAAGTAGTAAAGTAGTAAAGTAATTGTAAAAAACAACTCCAGTTGAAAAGTTGATCCACTTATATTGATGTCGTCATGGCATGTGAAGGTTGGGCTTCTTAGCATTTTGCTACAACAGTTGCAAGGTAGTATGGCTTGGAAAATTCTTGCAAGTATTTTTCCCAGGAAAAGAGGCCAGATTTTGACAAGAATTTCTGTTGTGGTCACAATTCCTGCTATCCAGTCCTATTGTGTGTAGAAATAGCTGTAAATTTAAGAAGACACATATGTATGAAACTACAAAAAATAAATAAATAAGCACACTTATAAGTAACATGATCTCTTCTCAGCTGTGTTGGATGCATTTTCACCTGATCAGCACCTTCGTCTCCACTTAACAAAGACTCCTGGATTTGTTCCAGACGTAATAACTGACTCATGTATTCCCCAGACTGGGGTCATGGGTAAATCTGACACTTTGATAGGCTCTGATCTTTAAAGATGCTCCCATGGTTGCACTCTTGCTTGGATTTCCTCCAAGCTTAATTCATAGCCTTTATACACCAGTGTCACAGGGTCTTTGATCAGTCTGACACTTTGCTAGGTTCTGAATGTTAACAATGCTTCTTTGGTTGAACACTAGGACTACTGCCAGGATAAATATATGGCCCTTGTACACCCATGTCTAGAATTTTGAACAAGTCTTACTTTTAACAGGTTCCAAACTTAAAAGTTCAATACCTTTTCTTATTTGGACAATTGGGTGCCATTCCAAACTCATAAACCCAACCTTATCCTTAAAGAGGACATTTCATCACAAGCATTCAAAATTTCAAGTCTCGCTCAGCCCTTTGGTCATGTTCCAAATTCAACATCCAAAAACCCACCCTAATCTTCAGAGAGGGCACTTGAAAGTATTCCAATCCTGAACTTCCTCCCTTTCAAGGACCCTTGGATATTTTCCAAACCAAAACAGACGGCGTGATCCCTCAGCGTGCTGTGCAAGGCACGACTCTGGGACTCATTCCAAGCCAGGGTCCCTACCTGTAGGTATTAAACAAATTTCCGGAAGAATGAATGGACCTGACCTTGGTTTGCCGATGCTGGTAAGGTAGAGAGAGATGGAAGGAGGGGAGCAAGTGAGACATGCATGGGTGGCAGAGAGAAATAGGAGGACGCTAGGGAGACGTAAGAGGGGTGGAGAGAGAGAGGAAGAGGGATAACAGCTAAGGGAGTACAGATGCATTCTTAATCTGACTTTCATGAGTTTAAGACATGGTTTCTATTTTAAAGAGGGGAAAAAAATCACTAAAAAAAGGAAGACTCAATGAAAAGGTCACATGACCATTTCCCTCATACAATTCAATGATGTTAGATATTTAGGAATGCCTCAACGTACATATACAGGCTACTTCTTACGTTGTTTAGGACACATTAACATTGAGCATATATAATAATAATGGCAACAAATTATCTATATGTGATTTAATAATGTTGCAAAAAAAAAAACTAAGAGACAACAGACTAGTGGTGAGTAAGTACACAAAATGTCAAAGACTAAAAAGGGACAAAATAAATAATACACAATTAATTCAAAATGACTTCCTTTTGGGGTTGGGATATGGCTCAATAAGGTTTTTTGGAAGTCTGGATTTGATACATGCACCAACTGATTTTCATACATCTCAGTGAAACTGACTCTTTCGAGCATATTTAGGACCCCAAAAATGTGATCCATTTCTATAAATAATAATCGGAGCAGTTTCAATAGGACCTTTGCAGTGATCACTGCTCAGGCCCTAAATACTTGGGGTTAAAAGTAATCCATAGGACATTATACTATTAAGATAAATAATGTGTTTATGTAGAATTATAGTTTTTTCTATAGATAATTTAAATTAACTAACATATTAAATGGTGGTTACATTTGAACAGATAATAAAATGGTGAATGCTTCATTTCCCTCATATTGTGGTGGACAATATAAAAGCAAAACTTTTTTTTCTGTATATAATGGTGACAGTGTCAAACCTCAGTGGACAAAACTTCATCCAAGGATCTGCAATTTGGCTTTAAAATCAAACATTTTTTTTATAAAGCTAGCTGCCTCTTCATCAGTTTACAGTCTCAGTTTATGCCTCCACGGTAGCCATCACTCCTCCAGCGCTGGGAGAGACAACACAACACCGGATGATTTTGCTGATTTCCTTCAACCTCAGAGAGGGGAATGAATCAGTGAAATCACCTGCCGCAGTTGTTAGCTGGAATGAAAAAATTGCAGACTCCTGGTCCTTCATGCCGCGATTGTCCCTACAGCATGGTTGTTTACTGTCGACATGTACATGGCCATAGGCTGCACAGAAATGGCTCGGTTAAGACCAGCTGTAAATTCTGTATTCTTTCTTTCTTTTCTTTTTGATTTATAAGTAAAGATCTTTGAACGGAAAAACAGGAAGCATGACATTGATTGTAGAAAAAGAATACAGGAGAAAGGGTATGGAATGTATTATATTTTTCTTGTCTTTATATTAACATATATTGGCATTTAATGTTATTAGTTAGTCAGTTTTTTACAATCGTTTTGGAAAAGAGAAAATGTTCTTTGTTTCATTTCATTTTTCACTGTTTCACAGCCTAAGTAGGTAAACTTCTCCATTTATTTACACACACACCACAACAACACACACCCCACACACCCCAAATGCTCTTTACCCCCAACATCACAACACCACACCTCCATACCTCCTGCAGAGTCTATACCCAATTGAACTCACACACAAAAGTTCACCCACACCTCAACCACATCAGGTGACCGCACACTACGCCACACAATTCTCACACACACACACACACACACACACCGACCACACACCACTCTCACACCACACAAACAAACAAAAAAACAAACAAACACAAACACAAACACAACACAACATAATGTAAAGAGGAGAAAAATAATGTCAGAAAAAAAACTAACACTGATCACACATAAAAATAGTCAGAAAGGCGATACTCTTCTGATCAAGAAAATTGGAGAGAGAATGAATAGCAACACACCAAAAAAACAAAAAAAAAAGAGAAACTCGGATTAGGAGTAGATAGAAATAAATCGGACTTAGGACGACAGCATATTATGTCACTAGAAAGACACAGAGGACGACAGCTGAGACTACTATCGCAACGACCCACACACCACAACAACACACACCCCACACACCCCAAATGCTCTTTACCCCCAACATCACAACACCACACCTCCATACCTCCTGCAGAGTCTATACCCAATTGAACTCACACACAAAAGTTCACCCACACCTCAACCACATCAGGTGACCGCACACTACGCCACACAATTCTCACACACACACACACACACACACACCGACCACACACCACTCTCACACCACACAAACAAACAAAAAAACAAACAAACACAAACACAAACACAACACAACATAATGTAAAGAGGAGAAAAATAATGTCAGAAAAAAAACTAACACTGATCACACATAAAAATAGTCAGAAAGGCGATACTCTTCTGATCAAGAAAATTGGAGAGAGAATGAATAGCAACACACCAAAAAAACAAAAAAAAAAGAGAAACTCGGATTAGGAGTAGATAGAAATAAATCGGACTTAGGACGACAGCATATTATGTCACTAGAAAGACACAGAGGACGACAGCTGAGACTACTATCGCAACGACCAATTATACGAGAGGAACGAGAGACAGTGCAGGAGGATACACCAGACACAGAAAAGAATAGAAGAGGAAGGATAGACGGCAGAGCGAAAATCATACAGGCATGCACACTTGCTAACAGTACCTAACCTAGGAACTGCAGACCTCAGATAGTTGGACATCAAGACGGATTAATCCAGCTTACGAAAGAGATTCATCCAGTGGCTAAAAATGCAAGCTAATGAACATCACCACAAAGTATGAAACAGAATAGAAACACATGAACACATAACAAAACAAATACATGTGAAAAAAAACACTTGTGTATATCAGACCTGAATGCGATAGTCCAATTGAATATAGCATCTCAAGTGGTGAGGTTTGATTACTTGAGTGAAAATTTGTCACTTAAAGGGACGTGACATTTGGAAATACGCTTATTTCGCTTTCTTGTAAAGACGGATGAGAAGATCGATACCCAACCCAGTATCTGCATTTTAAGTCTAAGGCTATCCACATGCTGGTTAGCTTAGGTTAGCATACAGATTGGAAACAGAGGGGAAACTGCTAGCCAGGCTGTGTCCAAAGTCTAAGTGTGAAAACAACAATTACCTGTTTTACACTACGTTATGTGCCAGACTATTTGTTTGGCTCTGAATGACTTCCTGGAGTTTGGTTGCTGGCATGGCTTATCTTATTCTCAATATAACATTTTAATCAGCAAGCTTTATGCCACACTCGTGTCATATTGGAATTATCATAATTACAAGTTTCCGACTTGTAAATAGTGTTCACGTTGTAATTACGACTGGGAAACTCAGAACTTTCTGAAAGCTCCAATTTATCCAACTTGGCACTTACTGATACAGAAGTGCTTGAAATCAAACCAAATAAATACAGATGCCTTACATCGGCCAAAGATCATCATTCAGTGTAAGCAAATCCAGCTTTAATGGATATTTCTCAAACTACCAACTCTATAATCATACAACTGTTTAGATGACGTGAACCCTTGTAAGTTGTTATCATGAAAAACTTTGCCATTTCTACCATCCCTCCAATATAATGTGAATGAGGCATTAAAGGTGCAGGTTTCTTGATGCTAAGCTAAGCTAACCAGCTACTGGCTGTAGCTTCATATTTAGTGTGCAGACATGAGATTGATATCAATCTTCTCATCTATCTCTTTCCTCAAATGTACAAAATTTGAGGAAAAAGTAATGATTCTCATCATTCGGAATTGCTTAGCATCAGTCTTACTGTAGAAATACAAATATGAACACACATTACATGCACATCTCCACTTTTATGTCTACAGAACTGACACAGTTGGAAATTCACATATCTTTTATTTTGGCTGTTTCCTTCTCCACAAAATGTGTTTCTTCTTTCAGCCCTTTCCTTCTTTCTATCCCTCTCTCCCTCTTTGCTACTGTTTATCTTATTGTCCATGGTCCATTGTCTTTTTTTACTTAGGAAAGTACCTACCTGAGTGAAAGGAGGAAGTATTTGAGTGTCAGCCATGATAAAAGCTGTTCGAATTCTCTAAATGCTAAGAAAAGGTGCTTCTATGTTTTGAACTTTGATCAATATAATAAACCCATTATAGGCTGACTGTGAACCTTACTGTTATACTGAATATCTAAATCTAATCGCATATACATACATTTGCCTAGGTATATTGGTGCATAACACTAAACACTGGACAGGGGAACCAAGTACTGCAAGTCAAGAAGCATAAAAAGATATAATATATATAATCATATATTTATATTAAATATATTATAAAGATAGTAATAGACTATATGTACAATATGTTATTTTAAATGGAAGATTAACAGTTTGTGCAGGAATTTGCAAAATATCACAGTATAAGGTATAAAGAATATTTGCCATGTGCAGTAGAAGATTATGATATCTACAGCAGTAGATTTGTATGACTGGTAGCCTGTATTCTTTTTTTTTATTTAAATTTCAACCTTGGCAATGAAGACATATTTTTCACAGGGTTGTCTGGGTGTGTATCACCTACATCAAACAACACCGTAAAAATGAAGAAAGTATCTAAAATACACTTTTTGTATCTTTAACATCTGTCGTTGCATAATTGGGTAGCGTATAGTGCAGTCAGATTCTGTCAGCACTACGGTTGTCTTTTCCTTAAGTCCTTATGAGTTCTCCCTCACATCTTTCCTTGACCTTTTGACATTTACCGTTAGGGTCAAGGAAAAGTGTTTAGGAAAGGACATAGGACCTACTTTTTATGACAATTCGACCGGACCCCATGTTTCATTCTGTGTCTCTCCCTTCTCCAAACAGCCCAACTTTATCAACCAAGAGCTGTGTGCTCCATTAACTTTATTTTATTTTTTCTCTCTTACAGTCTACGTAACACTGGAAAGACAAAAGCTAATTTCTATTAATTCTAATAGTCACTGCGGGAGATAAGATGAAACTTTAATGGTCAAAAATTAGGGAAACAAGGGAAAATGGGTCACTGCAAATCAAGATTTGACACAGTGCTGCAAATAAATGGAATATAGATATGAGTTGAGTAATGGGGGTTGGATAAACATATTATAACTGACAGTTTTGACACTGCTACAAAAGTTTCAAGTTGTAACATTATGTAAAAATTACAGACATCTGATGGTCTTCACCCACAGATGGAGAATGAATTTGTTTAGCAAAATATAACCTTAAGAGTGAACTTGGATGTTCATAAATGGACATAATGCATGAGTTTCAGGTACATGCAGCTTTATTTCTCCATCATTTCAGAGATCCCATATTAGCGTTTTTTTACATTCACATTCAACATTGCAATTGAAATTCAGTTGACTCCACTCCTTGCTTTCCAGCTGATGATACTTGTTCCTCTGTGTTGAATATGAGTAACCCTCTCCTCCATCTGTACTCTATACTTCTTTTCGAGTGGGTTGTCTGGGAAGTGTTTTTTTTTAACACACACTCAGCCTTGTCATAAATGTAAGAGCTTGAACGTGAACATGCAAACAAAAGCTTAACTTAAACAAATCATCCGATAAATTATTCTGCATTGAACATGGTTATTTGATTAGATGAAAGCTCAGTTTTAATGTCATATTATTTTCAGCAACACTAGCATTGGGGCTCTAAATCAGTTCTGGTCAAGTCAGACCACCACTGGGTCTGGAGTCAAATATCTTAAAAAGAAATATTGGATGGATTGCCATGACATTTTGAACAAACATTTAAGGTGAATCCTAATAACTTGGTACTCCCCCAACTTTTCTTCTTGCGCCATCATCAGGTCAAAATGTAAGTTTTTTCAAATAGCTAAATGATC